AGATTTAACCCATTCAGATTTTGCCTCTTCCCTCTTATTCTGGCTACTATTTAATTTCAGGTGAAAGAACTTACAGATGACTATGAAAAAGACAGAAATAGGGGCATTAATAAGACACATGAGAGATGAAATAATCACTGATCAAGAGAACTACTGAAAGCTTTGGATTTCGAAATGTGTGATTTTAATATTTCAGACACTACAATGTTTTCTTTTAATTAGTCATCGCTAAGACTTTGTAGCGTTCACTGTAAGTTTTCCTTAGAAATTGGGATGCTGGTTAATTATAATATTCACTTCTTATCAGGCAGCCTTTGTTTTTAATATAAGGAAAGGATCACTGAGATAGGAGGTAGTGTGGTCAAATGGTCATGCGCTCGGGCTCAAGCACAATGAAACTTGGAGCTAAACGCTCAGTAGCCTCTTACTAGCTGTGTGGCTTTTGATACCCTTTCCACATCTATAAAATGGGCATGGAAAAGACCTAATACCATAGGCTATTGTGACAACAAAAGAGAAAATGCATTTCAGACACTCAGAGCAGTTGCTGGAGCCTTTGTAAGCATTATACTATTATATTGCTATTCTCACGCATTTTGCTATACCACTAACACATCTTCTGTAGCTTGCTTGCTCTGTAATAAGTTGTAAAAATTAGATGATTTGGTATGATTTTTGGAGCTGTTTCCTGGTTTGCTAGCCATCTTTCAAATCATTAGTGTGAGTAGAATGTATAGTGCCATATGATTATGAAGAGTGAAAGATGCCTTCTCAAGGAATGAAGCTAATTTATTACTTATTTGAATGCAAACTCACACTCTGAAATTAGGAAAGGGATCTAACATATCCCTTTAAATATTCATAGGCAATAAAAACTCTGGCTGTTTGATTGATTTAGCAGGCAATTGAATGTTACCTTTGCTCTGCATAATTGCATCTATAAGAAACATTGCGTAGGCAATAAAAAACCCACCAACCTCTGACATAGGGATTTAATTGAGAAGAAAATGGGCTGAGGCTCATCTTCAAGTGAAAGGGCACTTTATTAATGGAAAGACTGTTTTTCTTTAGCCAACAACAAAAGAAAATTATGGCTTAAACCAAATTCAGGACATTTGACTCAAACAATCTAATGTACAACATGGATTTTTTTGGAAAATAGATCCATTTAAAACCTCTGTTACTGTAATTATTTTATCTCCTCAGCCCCATAGATAATTGATCCAAAGGCTCCATCTACGTTGCATCAAAACACAGTCTTTTCAACTAAATTATCAACGGGAACATCAAAACGATTGATTTAGCTAACAAATTATTAGGTGTGTCTCTATTACCTAAGTAGTTTGCTATTGATCAAAGCACTGAGATGATACCCTGAGAAATAGGAAAACCCTGTTACTACCCATCATTTTAACTCGGCAGCATATCTTTAAAGTTGCATCAGCTCATTTCAGACGAGCACAACTGAATGTGAGAAGGCTATTATCTCTAACATGCCGCGGTTTCCATCAAAGCTCTAAAGCACCTAATATGCTTCCTTCTCATTGCCAAATTACTCTCAGGTGGCTGGATATTCTATATAAGCATAGCCAGAGCTGATCATGGTTGCAAGTTTATTTATGTCAAGTTTACTTGTTACTATAGCATTCTGCTTAATTGATGATTGAAGTAGAAATGGAGAACACCTTTCAATCTTAAGACTAAGGATGATACAAGAAGTACTTTTGTCATTTTTCTGCATTTTATTTAAATAATGGAAGGTGGGTGGGTACATTTCATTGCTTTTCGTATTGGAATATATGTTTGTTTGTCTATCCATGCTCTTGGGGAGGGCATGCTTTGAAGGTAGGTACTATAGCATGCAGCCTAGTAAAAATAAAAATGCTGATCATTTGTTGAATGTGTACTATGTTCTTAGCAATGTAGTAAGCACTTTCTATGCAGTATTTTCTATTTTGCTCAGAACCCTATGAAACAGGATCTGCTATCACAGATAAAGAAATGGGAGCTTCAAAATATTGCCCAAGGTCACAAAGCCAATGCGGTGTAGGGGAATGTGCCAGTCATCAATGTATTGCCTTTCAACACTGATCTCTTGGGGATACTGGAATCTCTCTTTGCCAGCTAACATGATGCTAAACTTTGTCTATAGAGGGTGCTGGAGTGACACTGGAGGAGGTCAAGGTTCCTGTTCCAGTGTGTTTTTACTTCTTTCTTGCTCCTGTGGCTCTGGTTTGGCCTGTGGGATGCCCCGTGGAGCTCACCTTGTCTGTTCCCCACTTTCTCCCCATAAATTTCAGCAGCACCCTCTACAAGTGCCTTCTGACAAGTTCTGAGGGAGCCCCAGGAGCAAGTTCAGCATGAGTGGCAAATCCATGGGCAGTTTCCTGGAGCTCCAGCTGGTTTCCCAAAGCTCAGCAGCACCTACTGCAGACAGCTTCCCTGCGAGTCCACTGAGCACCCCGCCCAGCTTCCAGCAAATTCAATACCATCCCCATGGGTTACTTCCCTAGGAACTTTGTCAGCACCACACTCCAAGATCCCCTTCATACGATCTTCAGCCCCTGACTATGGCGCAGCTCTGGGCCTGGTCAACCAGGTGAACGTTTTTGCCATCTCACGGGCTGGAGACACCCTTTCCAAACAGGTTTGAGTCCCAGCTTTGGGGAAATCTTCTCGCCTTCCAAATCAGTTCCTTTCTTGGGTATATCCCTCAGCGCTAGGGTAGTGAGTTCTCTTCTATTTTCTCTTAAAAATTAATTCTCAGTAAACAGTTAATAGTTATTGGCATTAAGCTTTCCCTGTGCAACTTACTGTGTAGTTTCTGTGACCCGTCTGACCCTGTCTAATACAAGGGGCTAGTCCGACCCAAGTTTTTCTGATTCAATATTCAATGTTTTAACAACTCAGCCTGGATATAGCAGAGTAGGTGTTCAATCAAGGTTTGCTGTTGAGTTGAATCATTATTTATTTGGGAGAAATGCCTCATTCCACACCAAAGACTAAAGGTTTGCAAGATCAGGTTAGAACGCAGTCTATTCGTAAGCACAGAACAGGGAAATTCTGAACAAAGCTCAAGGTTCAAATTGAGGTCTTTTCATAGCTTCACCAAGGTCAGTTTTATGGTGCATCTTGATTTTTTGCTTGAGCTACAATTTCTATACTGACACTAGCATTCCAACATAAATAAAAGCACATTCTAATTCCGTATCAAAATACAAATCTAAATGACCTATGAATTAGCTGCCACCAAGGAATATCTACCTCTACTTATGTCCAGTAACAGTGCCAGAAGAACAAAATGCCAGGGGCCTGTTTGGAGGCCCCTTTTGCCAACCTCAAGGCCCTTATATTGACATGGATAAAGTGGCAGCATGGACTGTTTGGAGGCTCACTGCTGGCATCTTCACACTGATCTGCCCCACCATCATGACCTCTTCTTCAGGACTGGACAAAGTCCTACTCAGGACTTCTTTCTTTCCAATTTAAAACATGATCCAACTTCTCCCCCACTAAACTAACAAAAGGTTTCCTAGAGACCTTTCCTTCCCTTCACAGGCAGCTCCTCACAGGGATGGTGTACACGAGCCACCCCTTCTTCCTCCCAGATGTCCTCTGTAACCTGCTGTTGCCAGTCTCTATCCCTGTCAAGAATCCATGAAAGCTGCTCTGCTCAAGGTCATCAGTGATGGCTTTTTTTGCCCAGTTCCCTCTTTTTTATTTTTATTTTTTTGCTTTTAAATTTAATTTTTTTTCAATTTTAATTACAGTTCATATTCAATATTATTCTGTATTAGTTTCAGATGTACAGCATAGTGGTTAGACAATCGTACTTTACAGAGTGGCCCCCTGATGTTTCAAGTACCCACCTGGCCCCGTGTACAGTTATTATAATATTATGGACTATATTCCATATGCTGTAATTTACATCTCTGTGACTATTCTGTAACTGCCAATTTGTACTTAATCCCTTAACCTTTTTCACCTAGTCCCCCAATACCGTCCAGGGGATGCCCAATTCCGTCAACTTGCTCGGCCTCGCTATTGTATTTGACATTTTTTCATGACTGCTACCTCCTAAGCACCCTGGTTTTAACTGGAGTCTCCTCTATGTCTTTGACCATGTCTTCTAATCTCCGTTGCAGACACTGTAAAAACTTACTTGGGGTATAACTTCTAAATTCTGTCCATGATTCTTTCCCTTTTGCTTACCTGGCGTGGTCTCATGAACTCTCCAGCTGTGACTAGCATGTAGCCTGATAAATCCCCTATGTGTAAAGCTAGTCTGAATCATCCTCTTTAACTTCAGGGCTAGAGACCTCTGTCTTACTGGGTTGTGGAATAGCCCCAGCTGGATGCTCCGTAGGTACTGCAGCAGCCCCAGTGGGTGCCCTGCCACAGGGCCCCAACCTCAGGACTGCTGAGTTCGCCTAAGCTCTGGTGGGCCAGCTGCTGCACGTGCTGCCAAATTCCCACCTTAAGTGCCCATATGTGTATTATATCATTTCGTCTTTTAAAAAAACCCTGCCCTGGCCGGTTTGGCTCAGTGGTTAGGGCGTCAGCCAGTGGACTGAAGGGTCCCGGGTTCCATTCTAGCCAAGGGCATGTACCTCGGTTGCAGGCCCCATCCTGTCTTGGTTGGGGTCTGTATGGGAGGCACCCAATTGATGTGTCTCTCTCTCTGTCTCTCTCTCACTCTCTCTCCCCCTTCCACTCTCTCTGCAAAACAATGGAAAAAAAATCAAACCAAACCAAACCAAACCGTGTATTTGGTATGTCTTAGTTTCCTGTACAAACCCATACTTTAAAACTTTTTTTTAAGACAAAATGATATAATACATATGTAAATAGTTCAGCCATGTCTAGCACAGGACAGTCTCTAAACCATGGAAGTTGACCTAATATTTAAATATTCCTCAGTTTATCTGAGAAGCCTCAAAGTATTTGCTAGATGTTCATGCAAATCACTTTACAGAGATTTTTCACTCTTATCTTCATACCTCTTCATGTAGTTCTCTCCAGCGAGAGTTGAATGTCTCCAGCTCCTCATTGATCAGCTCATCCATAACTCCGCCATCTGTCAGGGTCTGGGCCAATATGCGAATCTGATTCGGGTTATCTTCTGAATGCTGCATCAGATTTTCAAGCGACTGAAACACATTGGCAATAATTACTATTTTTCTAAATACACTGAATTAACACAAAATGCTCAGTGTCTTCTGATTTACATAAAATTCAGTTATAAGGAATTTAAAGCAATGTTTCACTGAGATCATAAAACATGAAAGATCATTGTTACTGCAAAAATTACAGGGTGGGGCAAAGGTAGGTTACAGATGTTCATATGGAAAATAATACAATAATTAACGAATAATATATAAGAATAAACTCTGTGTTTCGCATACTCACAACTGTAAACCTACCATTGC